ATACACACGGATATCAAGTCACGCATACTCTTCACTTCTGCAGCTGCCACATGGGCTTAGCTGGTAATTATAACTGTCTTCTTCTGTCCATTCTGTATTTCCTCCACCCTCAGCAAGCCCCTCTTTCTGGAAGAGTGACCCATACCCTCATTCCTGAAGGGTCTTGACCCTTTGCCATCCTGGTGCTTTTGGGTTTTTGTATTTTCCCACTGACTTCAGCCACACGACACAGCGGCACCAAGAGATACCCTAGAGCAGCTGTTCTCACCCCGTGGGGTGCGGCTCCTTTGGGCGGCAAATGACCCTTCCATGGTGGTTGCCTAAGGCCATTGGAAAACACAAATATTTACTTTATGGTTCCTAACAGTAGCAAAATTACGGTTATGAAGCAGCAATGAAAATAATTTTATGGTTGGGAGTCTCCACGACATGAGGAACTGTATCAAAGTGTTGCAGCTTTGGGGGGTTGAGAACCACTGCCCTAAAGGACCTCCTGCACTCCAGACACGATCTTTTTACCTCTATCTTGGAGAAGTAATCCAATTTCCCCGTGATAATCTGAATCAATCACTCTTCCTAAAACTCTTACTCCTTTCTTAGCTTGTGGGCTTAAGGGCATCAGAAGCCCAAAGTGGCCCAGAGGAAGTCTGAGCTTCCAATTCAAGGGCCTGTTTGTTGTGTCTCCTCATAGGAGAGCTCCCCTTTGTGGAATCAAACCTTTAAGGCTAGCAGAACTTACAGTCACAGGAACAGGCAAGCAAAAATGTTCGCAGTCACTAAGGGTGATAATGAGTGATACCATTCCCTTTTCCGCCCCTTGATTCCTGGACCCCTGGGTCCTGGCTATGGGAGAAATCGTACAGTCTATTGGGCACCAATTCAAAGCATATAGTGTCTTCTAGAGAACTCTACCCAGGCCACCTAATTGGCTCTGTAACTGTGTCTTCAGTGTCTTCAAAAGGTCATTCTATCGTTCTATCAGGCCAATGGCGTCGGGATGGTGAGGGACATAGTAAGACCAGTGGATCCTGTGTCATGGGCCCACTGGCTGTTGTCCTTTGGCTGTGATGTGAGTTCATTGGTCAGAAACAATAGTGTGTGGACTACCATGACGGTGGGTAAGGCATTCTGTCTGTCCACAGACGGTAGTTTGGGCAGAAGCATTATGTACAAGAAAGGCAAATCCATACGCAGAATAAGTATCTACTCTTGTAAGGCTAAAACCTTGATTGTTCACAAAGGAAGGGGTCCAGTGTAGCCCACCTGCCGCCAGGTCACTGGTTGGTCTCCACAGGGAATGGTACCATGTCAGGGCTCAGTGTTGGTCTCCGCTGTTGTGGTACCTGCATAACATGCAGAACGTCAGTAAACCAGGCTCTAGTCTTCTCTTCACCAGGCCATAGGAGCATGCTTGGGAACAGACAGCATTGTCATGGGAATAGGAACTACAGGCGTCTGGGCAGCTTAGTCACGTAACTTGCTTGTACCCTCAAGACCTGCCCAGGCCCAATGGTGTATACACCACTTCCTCTTGATAACAGAGTGACTGCAGTGCGCACCCTACTTTGTGGCTTGGTGGTTCAGGAAACAGCTTTAATCCGAGCACTCGGGAGGCAGAGACAGGTGGATCCAAGTTCAAGGCCAGCCTGATCT